TGTGTGTGTGTGTGTGTGTGTGTTTGATTACACCTTTGTGAATGTGTATGTGTCTATTCTATTTGTTAGTGCAATGCTGAGGAAAAAGTTCACGAGGACAGAATTTCTGACTCTCAAAGCCATCTCTTTAATAAAATACAGTACGCGTACTTAGTCTCAGTAAAAGCAGAAACACAAAATAGAGAAGATTCGTGGAAAGTGCAAGATAGCTAAGAAGTAAAATCCGAGCCAAAGAGTGAGTTTGATCGTTATACGTCGACCGAGCCATAGGTTTAAACTGATTCTATTCAGGTGTGAGAATGTTTTTCTTTCAACCGTGAACTTCTTTTCGAGACCAGAGTGCGCTTTTATTCGACTCCATCTCAATGCCATCTGCATAATATGGGTGTGTACCATATTATTTCAAAGAACTTTACAAAGTTCAAACATAAGATTGGGAGTGGTGTAATTTCTGTATAACTGAGAGGATTCTTGCATGCATACGAATTTTCGGATCTTGAAGATGTATTGAAAATTTTCCCCCCAGACTGTAATGAAACTAGGCGTATGATGTCAAGCTTCATTCGGTCCTCTAGAGTCTAGTCTCACCCCTATGCACAAGCATAATTAAATATTCCGGCTTTCCTTGTTTTGTAGTCTTATCTCGTATGCTAAAAATAAGATACTGCAGCATTTAATTTTATCGTATTTTAAAATATTATTTTTTCTTTAAGCCCTTTTCTTTAACCTGTTAAAACACACTGTTGCGTTCGTGTATTTGAATTTAGGTCAAGTGATGATTATAACGTTTACCGTTGCAAACCAGTTTTCTTGGGAGTTTTTGCTTTGGAGGGTACTAATGAGATATATCATTGTCTATCTTTCATGTTCTGTCCTAGTTCTAAGCATCCATGATCTTCATTTTTCTCAAAGTAAAGAGTATGATTTCGGGGAGGGGGTGGGGTTACGAACAATCAGTTGTCTTTTGTTTCTTGATTTTTTTTTGGTCAAAGCGATATTGTGGTCAGTACAGTTTGTTCCACAAATGCACGAGCTTTTTACAAGCATAGTATACTCTGGTGCAAATGAAGTCTCTCTCTCTCTCTCTCTCTCTCTCTCTCTCTCTCTCTCTCTCTCTCTCTCTCTCTCTCTCTTCCTTTCTCTCTCCTCCTCTCTTTCTTGCAAACAAATT